AACTATGAGGTAACTTTGAAATAAAAAAAAAAAAAAAAAAAAAAGTCTATAATATAAGCAAAAATTTCACAATATAAGTAATAATAATTTTTTAATCAAACAAGTTTATAAAATTTTCTATATAATCAAATTTTTATTTTGCAAATTTATTAATAAATAATAATTATAATTAATATAAACAAGTATATTAAATTTAGTATTTTTAAAATTATAAAAATTACTAAATTAAAAATTTTTTTAAAAAAAATTTATTATTAATATAAAAAATATTACTAAACAATTTTTGTTATTTATTATATAAAAAAATTAATTTCTTAATTTTTTTTAAATTTTTTATAAATTTTTAAAAGTATAATACAAAAGTTTAAATCTTATCTATTAATTAAACAATTTATAATTTTTATTTTTATACTTTTTAAAATAAATATATCAAAAGAACAAAGCAAGTTAAACATTATAGTTAGCAAAATTATTTAAAAAAATTTGTAAAACTATTAAAAAAATTAATAATGAAGATTTAATTAATATAAATATTGCAAATTTTACAACTATTAACAATACAAATAATATATTATCTACATCAATTGCTACTCAATCTGAAAATCTTGTTAATAGAATTGCTACTTAAACTAAAAATCTTATTAATACAATTGCTACTTAGACTGAAAATCCTGTTAATACAATTGCTACTTAGACTAAAAATCTTGTTAATACAATTGCTATACAAACTAAAGCTAATATTAATATAGTTGCTACTCAAACTAAAAATTTTGTCAATATAATTGCTATACAAACTGAATTTAATATTAATACAGTTTCTACTCAAACTAAAAATTTAGTAATATAATTGCTATACAAACTGAATTTACTATTAATATAGTTACTACTTAAACTAAAATTATTATTATATAATCTAATAAAATTCAAATAGAGCAACCAAATAAAGTAAATTCAAAAGTTTAATTACTTAATCTATTTAATCAAATTATTCAAATACACAGATTGAAATTTTTTAATATAATAAGGTGATTAATAGCCGATATATAAAAAAACAAACAATATATAATTGGCTAAAAGATTGTTTACTAGTTAATACAATCATACAAATATTAGCCTTATATCATAAAAAGATAGCTTGATAATAAATTAAATATTAAAAAATAAACTAAAAATAAAGCTGATATAATAATATTTAATATAATTAATAAATATATGATTATGATATAAACTG